TTTTTTTTTTTTTTTTTTTTTTTTTTTTTTTTTTTTTGGGGGGGGGGTTTGTCTGAAGATAAAAAAAAGGAAATAAAAAGAGAAGCAGCCTGCAGGATTATTTCCAGGTTTATACGTAAAGGAAAGCCACACTCTCCAACTGGTATTCCTGTTCACATGTGGACCCCAAGCTTCAGTTCTGTCCCGGCCCAGCCACGAGACCCGGCTGCTGCCCCCCTCTCCCCGCCCCCTTCAGCTTTGACACCACCCTCTCTGGCTCCTCTCTCCAGGTATGAGTGCTCTGCAGTTGCAGAACTTGGCCACTTTAGCGGCGGCGGCGGCGGCAGCCCAAAACTCGGCCAGCCCCTCCACCGCCAACCCCCTGTCGTCCAACGCCGCCTCCCTGGGAGCGCTGGCCAGCCCAGGTAACGCCGCAGCCACTCGGGCCGGGGGGGGTCCGACGCCCGCCTCCGCTCTCCATCGTTCCCATTTCCATCGTTGTCACCCCACATGACCCTGGCAGACCACCGTCAAGTTGTCACCGCAACCTCATTGTTCCAATCTGCGTGTTCCCACGGTGTGTGTACCCAGCATCTGATCACGCCTTCATCGCCACAGCGGCGCCATGCTGGCGTTGTCGAAACTCCGCCTCCTTGTGTGTTTCTTCATCACATAATTCACGCTTTGTATATGTGTGTGTGCATGAGTGTGTGCTTAATGTTTCTGTCGGGTTCAGTTTCTGTTTTGGACACTTTGTGCCTCGCTGCAGCAGCGCTTGAGGCCAGTTTAAAGCAGCGCAGTGGTTGTTTCCCCTTTTTCCGGTGGGCTTCATCTGCRCCTCTGTGTGTTGGCCATGTCCTGCTCGCAGCTTCAGCTTTCAGAATCACCAGGTTGATGTCGAACCTGGCTCAGGTTAAACACCAGCACCTTTAGATTTCCCTCCACTCGTCGCTTCATCCCGTCTCCTCCCCTCCCTCCTCGTTGCCCTCATCTCCCGCTGCTGCCCTTCTTTTTTGACAAGCTCCCTGTTTCTGCTCCATCATCCCTCCCCTCCCTCCTTCATGTCGGCTCGGCCTCGCTCCAGCAGCACACTCTCAGCAGAGCATGAATATGAAAAAAAWAAAMCACACACACCCTCCCCCTCCCTCCTCAGCCGACACTCTTCCTCCTCCTCAACGCTCGCGCCGCTCCATCCCACTTCGAATGCCCGTTCTTGTCTTGTCTCACCTCCTACTTCGCTTCCCTTTCATCCCAGCCTCTCTTCTCACTCTAGATGTCAGTCCAACCTTGAATGGTGCACACTCAGGTTGAATGAGTGGCGCTAYACTGCATGTGTCAATGAAACTGCAAACGTCACTCCAGTTTGATAAATATAGACAGTTCTGCATGGAAACAAGCCAGCGTCTTTGTTTTGCACCGTGTGCTGACATAATGCTCCCTCTGCCACGCCATCTCCTAATATATTCAGCGGCAATCCTGCTTTGTGGGCAACGCTTTGATGAGATGAAGGGTAAATGATTAGAATAAATCTCTGTTTTTGTTTTGTTTTTTGTCTTAAAAAATAAAAGATCACGCTCTATGCACCATATTTCCCACCATCTCACCCACCATCACCAACATGGTTCAGTGTTTTAATTCACTGTGCTTCTTTACTTTTCTTCTGTCCATTTTGATGAACTCATTTGTCTTCATTGTGGTTCTTATGGAAATCTCATTTAAACTGTGTGAAATTCACTGTAGACCAATAATTACAAAGGTTTCAAAATAAAAGATGTTGATGTTCTCTTGCTTGTTACTTTRTATGTCTGCTGTTTTGCAAAGGGGTCCTGGTGTTTTTAGGTTTAGAACAAGCCGTGCAACGTTCCACACATGGCCAGACTACAAAGAAAAGGTCTTAACTGTGTTTTAACACAAACATTGATGGGCATTTTAAGATTCAAACCCACGTAGCAACATTTTGTCTGGCCCAGATCACTAAACACTGTAACGCTCGACCCAGATACCCCCCAAAAAAATGACGGCTCCTTTGGTGTCCCAGATGTGGTTTGCCAAAGTTTGGTCCATGCATGGGCCCGCACCACGTAAACCAAACCACAACTGGGCCAYTTGTGGCATGCCATCTTATAAACAGTGTCATCACTGCCAAAMCTGGCCCACATCTGGTTGCAAAACCACCTTGCATTGATAGCAGTGGCAGCTTGACACCAGATCTGGCCCACTCCTGTCCGCTATGTGAGAATGGCAAACTGTGGAAAACTTGATGTATTTTAGTATTTTTAGATTAGCTTGTAGTTTTAAGACAGTCATGCAAATGGGCRGAACTCTCGGAGGGGTCTGGGGGTTGGCACCCCGGACCACTAACCCCGCCCCCCAATAAATCATTTGAGGACAATGCTTTTATTTAGAAAATCAAAGCATCACCACCATTTCTATAAGCAAAACAATACACCATATGGGACACAATTTGTAGCAATTATGCAATTTTCAAAGATCTCAGGGCCGCAAGACTGGGCACAGCTCTCACTTCCATTGCAAAAAAACAGAACATTTAGGCGTACAGTATGCTGAGGAAGATTCTCTGTCATTTARTACCAGTATTCTAAAAGTAAACCAAAAACTACTGGATTTATTTTTTTARTTACGTCTTATTCGAGGAACAGTTCCAAACATAAGCTTTGGAATTTTRCACTTTTTAGTTTTAAATTTAAAAAAAAGGCTGCTCTAATGAGAAGCAAAAAGTTGCCTCTAATCTTACTTACTTTGTCAGGATGACTCAAACATCAAATCAGACAAAAAATAATAATAAAATAAAAAATAAAYAACAACGACACAGKTTTGAYCAGTTGTACCTCTCTGCAAACAGCTGGCGCCTCCKTCTTGATTAACAGGAATTATTTTTCAATATGATTTAAAGTGCTGTGTTTATTCCTGCCTTCAGTGTAATGACTGGAAATACATTCCTGCTTATATTGGCATTTAAAAAAAGCCAAAGCTGCTGTGCAGTCAATGCATTCAGAAAACAGWTGAAAGACACGAAAATGTTAATAAGTTATAAAAAGTGTAACGATGCAGATGCTAGATGTTTTGTATAACATCCACATTTCTCCGCCTCCCCTTCTTACCTTTTTGTTTTTTTCTCTCTCTCTCCATCCCTCATTCAACCACCCCCTCCCCCCCGCCGCCCTTCCTCCTCCCTCCCGTTTTTCCCCAAGCAGCAGGCACTACAGCCAGCTCCAACGCCAGTGCCATGAACTCTCTGACCTCTCTGGGCACCCTGCAGGGCCTGGCAGGTGCAACTGTGGGTCTGAACAACATTAATGCACTAGCAGGTAGCATCAACAGTGAGTATTCACCCTGCCATCAGCATCTCCATCTTCAACCACGACCCCCACACCCCCCCAACCCATCAGAGTCAGAGCAGAGAGACGCGTTGGTTTGACTTTTTCATCTTTTTTACCCGAAAGTATTTCTTTTAAAAAAAAATTTTTTTTGCTGTTTTTTTTTATTTTAAAGACAATTTAGATTTTTTAATGCGAATTTTTGCATTTAAACTTGATTTTTCATGGAAAATTGGAATTGTAATACAAAGTATTATTATGTATTTTGTCAAGAATCTAAAGTTCACACTATTTGGTTCTCTCCGTTCTCTCCCTGGATTTCAACTTTAATCAGATATATTTTAATTTATTTATTTCTTTATTTATTTATTTATTTGTTTATTTGTTTGTTTGTTTAGTTTTTTTTTTGGCAGCAGCTTCTTCCATTGATTTTCTGGCCACATTCACTCATTCTTTCATTCCACCCATCATTCACCTGCTTCCTGGTTGTGTCCTGGGTTATGCTTGCTGTAAGCGTGCTGATTGGCCAGCAGTTGTCTCACGCAACGTCCAGCGTGTGGGGACTATGTTGTGTTAAATCGTGTCATTTTGTGTCACTGTTGTCATCAACATCTTTTCTTTTTTACGGGTATTTTCTAGTTTGTAACTAACAAGTTGCTTTGTCAGCAGGTTAGCTAACTTTTATGAAAAACAAAACAAAATAGTATATGATTCCTTTATTTATTTCTTAACAATGAACACTCTTTGCATAAATGTGTTCAAATCAAAAACAACTGAAAAGTCCACATCATGTAAGGTCGATGGAAAGATCTGAATTCTTAGGTTTTACAGGCAATTATTAACAAAAAWTATAAACAAAACTCTTCTTTAACTAAGACCTTAATTTTGGGAAGTCAAATTGAAGTTAAACACATTTTAACAYGGTGGGTACAGCAGAAAGACCTCCACATTTTCCATCCAAAATGCCGAAATCATCTGTTGTTGTCGTTGCGTTACAAAAATTGCCTCAATTTGTTAGCAGCTTCAAGTSTTCCACCCCTTCTYGTCACAAGGCTGAACTTTTTACCCCTCTCTGTGTAATAACTCACCGTGTGATTGGTGAGAAGTTTGTGGGCGTTTGTTTATGCTGAAAGCACTCCGACCCTTTATTTTGTTCAGCTACTCGCTTTCAGACTGTTGTACCCAGAAGCAGACATTTCTAAAGAGTCAAACGGCCAAAAACCCATGGATGGAGATAAAACWGATGTTTTGTATGGAGGAATCTGTGTGCAGAGGAGTGTAGAGCTTTAACCAGGTCAGATTTGTGGACAAAGAACGGCGGATATCGGAGTGACGTGTACCGCAGTGGCAGAGGATTTCGGCATGGTGTGTCTTAGGAGGTATGAAAGGTGTGTGTGAAAACGAGCACTGAACAGCCAACCGTCGACTGTTCGGTGTCAGATCAGGTATATTAGGCCCTAAAATGGCTTCAAGCAGGATCAACACTGCRCTTTGGGATCACTGTTCTGTTTCAYGACTCGGTTTAGTCCCAGCTCACATTTGACTCTTGAATGCTTTGGTCCACAGAGGATCACAGCGTCGACTCCAGTCCTGAATACAATCACCCTTCCACCACCCTGCCTGACAGCAGGGATGAGGTGTTTGATCTGATCTGTTACTTGGTTTTCTCCAAACGTGGCGCCGTTGATTGCGGCCAAACGTTTCTACCTCTGTACCGTTTGTTCAGATGAAACCTAAGCTGTGCTGCCATGTTCCTTTTTAGAAAGAAAAKGCTTTCAAAGGATGTTTTTAAAGTTTATTGAGGTTGCTCTAAMGGGTTCCCTGAACATGTTGAATCAGAGGCATGTTTTCCAAACACGCGCTCTGCCAACACGTATTGAGCCGTGAGGTGGGTGTCCTGCCTCTGACCTCTGAGGAGACAGGGCTGGGATCTTAATCAGAGCTGTTATGACAGCGAAGATCCTGTACTACCGGCCTCGTCCACCACATTATTCTCCTCTGACCTTTCCCGCTCCTCGGCTGGAGTCGCTGTATCCGCTCTGTAAATCACCCGCACGTCGGCCCGAGCGCAGAAACACAGGACATGTGCGCACACACAACGCACGTGTTTGTCCTTTTTAAAGCGAGCCGGTCGCTTCCGTTATGCATCCCGTTTTGTACCCCCCCCCCCACGCTGCTCTCCCTCATCCTCCCACCCACCGCCACCAACCACCCTCATTTAAACACATCTAGGCCTTAATTGAATTGCAAAGGTCACCGGTGCAATTATTCCTGAATAAATGAGTGACCTATAATCCGGAGCGCTGTGGTGATAATTTATTTCACTGTGTCTGACGGTGAGGCGACAGGACGCCGAGCCGGTGTCAGACCTCCTCAGACATGTTGCCCTCCGCCGTGATATTAAGCCGTTACAAGCAGCTAATGAGTGTTACTGCTGCGTCCCTCCACTTTTTAAACTCCCACCCCGCTTCCTCCACATGCTGCCTTCCCCCCWTTAAACAGAGACGTCACAAACGGGAAAAGCACAAATAATCACAGCTTGCGGTCAGATTTTTCTGTCCTGAATTTACATGCTTCAAAAAAAACTATTTTTTCTTACATTAGCTTTGCTTGTGCCTAAAAGCAAATATGACTGCCAGTACCTTGAAGGACACACAAGATTAGATGCTATAGTTCCTAATAAGTCTGACTATCAGACTGTAATTATTGCACAAATTCTTGGACTGAAATAAAAAGAAAGTCTAATACAAAATAGGAATACAGTTCCTCTGGAGTCAAATTAAATATGGATACAGGTCAGAAAGAAAAGGTGCTCAATGTTTTCAAGCACCAAATGATTTATTTATACTTTTAAAAAGACCCGAAATAGTTTGAGAATATAAACAAAGATGTTTGTGCTCTTTGCTWACTGTAAATTCATTAAATGCTGACTTGGTAAGTCTTGAAGCAGCTGAGGAATTTAAATACGAATTCAATTAAATATAAATGAGATGTAAAAGTAACTTTTTTCTTTTTGCATTCGTTTAATGTTTTTTGTCCTGTTCGATGTTTTTACCAGATTTTCAAATACAAAGTTTACATGTATAAATGTAGACGCTCATCTTTCACCATCTATGGAATGCTGTTTCAGTCAATTATAAATAATTTTGTATAAATATGTGAGACATAATTTATTACACAGAATAAGTAAGTAAAAAAAGACACCTAGACGTCAAAGTTTATWTTCTTTTCCTTTCCAGTAAATTTTATTGTTAAAAGAAATGATTAAAAAGCACTGGGAAATAAAAGTCCTTTAAAAAATGCAAATAAAACATACTTTTCAACATTTATTAAATGCCTGTACTTCAGCTTACCTGTATATTAGCATTTTTTGTAATTTTTTTTCAGCCATTTAGTGCGTTACTTGAATATATAGTACATATTAGTGGTATTGATATATATTTATTATTGACACAAATGGCATTCCATAC